TATCGATGCTAACGACTCTCGCGAAGCGTTTCTCTTCACCCGTTTTTTCTTATTATTTGCCGAACTATTTATAAATATATATATTCCGATCGCACCGACGACTACAAACACTACACCCATCACAACCACAATCACGATAATTATGAGACTTCCACTACTACTCCCTTTGCCGGCGTCCTTACGATTGTCATTAGATTGCACTCCTTTGGGATCGCTCTTCGGGTCCGATGCGGCGCCCGATTTGACGGCTCCGGGCTTTGTATCCGGCGTCGTATCGGTAGGTTTGGGAGTGGGGGCCACGTAGTAGTCAAAATTTTTAACACTCAGTTTCGGTTTGTCCGCAATCTTATGCCCAAAAAAATGACAAAAAATATATTGAAATGTATTTTAACAATGATTTTAAGTAAATGTATGAGAAGTTGACAAACATTCTGACTGTCGATCGGATTTTTATTTTGCTTTTTGGACGCATAAGAAGTGGAATCGTTTGTACGAATTGAATGCAATTCTTCAATGTCTGCGATTATAATCATTAACACTATAGATATCAATGGAAAATACATTGCTTTGGATTCGCTATAAGAAGATTATATTAAAAGTAAAGTCTCTGATTATAACTGTTAAACAAAACTCAAATCTAATAAATTTACCGTTGGATACAAATTACACTATTTTTATGCGGCAATTGTTGAAACATTTGCGGATTGATTACTGAGAGTGCATTCAACAATCAAATTAAAAATTACGATATTTATCATTTTAAAGCCATAGCAATTGCTTAGCATATTATATGCAATATAACACGATTATAAAGATAATCTTCAAATTATATACCATACAAATGATAGCTAATTATTGTAACAGTAATAAAAATAACACAAATTTTTATTACGGCCTTAAATATAATAGCATTGAAACGATTAGTTCGCTAATAATCTATAATAAGCGTTGGATTTTAAATGAATTATTAATAAATAAAAATAAATTATATTCAGTAAAAAACCAGTCTTTCATAATTGATAGGTTGTGTTGCAAATTATAGCACAAAAATTACTGTAATTTTTTTTGGTTACTCAACATGTAGTGAGGGTTGCTTTCAATACCGGTATTGGGTTATAATAGATATAACATTTTGCATTTTTGATAACAATTAGGTATATTTCGGGAGCATTTGCACAGCGAAAGGCGGTATTGAATTGTCAACTCTATCGAAAATCATATTACAATGTATTACAATGTAAGTCACAATACCTGCGAGAATATTAACCTCTTTATTAGCCCAACAATAATAGTCTGCAATATGTTTGTTGGGCTAATAAAAGCCACGATTTGTTTCAAATACTTCAAAATAATTTTCAAACAAATAAGTCTAATACGTGGGGCAGAGAAAAATTTAAATAAAACTTGAAAACCTATTTTTATTACTTTTTGATTCATTTGTTTACATTATGATAAGTTTTTTATAATCTCTTTTAAAAACTCTAAATACATTTTTTTTCTTGGAAATAGTTTTAAAGTTTTATTTTAGTTTTATTTGCATTTTTTGTGGCGAAATTTAAAAAGAAATATAGCTTTTATTGTGATAAAAATCGTGATTTCTATTGTGTTTAGTCGTGCAATGAATGCATAATATAAAGCAATTCATTTCAATAATATATTAGACATGTCTTACACAACACACACTGGATATGAATTTTATTATAATTATTATTATATTTTTAATTTTCAATACCAGTAGTGTTTTGGATATATATTAATTGTTTTTCAAAGATTTATTTGAATTTTCAATTAATAAAAGAGTAACAAAAAGAAAAGATTTATAATTCATGATAAGACAAACACCGGTTTAATTCACACAAACGTTGAGACCATAAATTGTATTTTAATGCATCCTTTAATTAAATTTCTTTTCAAAAGCAGTTTATTTATTAAAACAGGATTTTATTTAAAATTACAATTATATTCACAATTATATATTTTAATTAAACTTAATGTTAGAGAGAAATGTTTTTTATGACTTCTCTGAAAGTGTTTAAATCATTTTTGCAATTTTCTAAAAGATATTAACAAATTCTATTCAAATTGAATTAATATATTATTTATATTTTTATATATATTTTGATTGGTATTTAACGATAAAAAATTGCGTGAAAATTGTTTTGTAATAATATATTACATATCGTTTTGTTTTGTATTATTATTTTTTGTTCAATATATATCCAATTCTAACTAATATAGTAATGATCTTTCGGCTAAACATAACATTTGTATTTTAAGATTACATTGTATTGTATTTTGTATTTTACAATCGATGCGTTTGACTCACTATTACAGTAATTGATTGTTTGTTAATAACAATTATTGATAACACAAAACTGATTGTATTATTATAATAATCATAAATCGTTTAAATTTAATACTAATTTGGGTCAATACTTACCAAACAAATCAATGCAATTGTTTTCTCAATATATTTATATCATATAATACTATACAGAAGTTTATCATCATTTTTCAAGAGCACTACTAAATTGAATATTAAGTGAAAATTTATAGTGAAATCCAATAAATGAAATGAAATGGAGAGAAGAAAATGTATTTAAAGCCCTCAATAAATATTAAATATAATGAGATTTTATACTGATTTTTATTATTGTTTAATTGTTTTGTTCGTATGACTCGACTGTTAGAGATAATTGTTTGAGACAATTGTCTCACCCATTAATGAAAACATATATATTTATAATTTTATACATCGGATGCCTTATAGTTGGTGTGATAACTGGCTTCGTATATATTAGTCTTGCTATCATTACCATAAGTGAACTTTTGGAGCACGTCTTCGCTGTACTCTCTACTCAACTCTCTTTCCTTCTCTTCTTGTTGTTTGAAATAAATTTGTTGAGACTTTGATAGTCAGGAGTAGACGTCTTTATTCATGTCCTGATAGCCGGTGAGCGGCATAAACGGGAGTCCGTTTCCCGGTTGTACTGCCCCGCCGTCCACGTCATGAACTTTCCTGATGGGCCGCGTATTGCCGTAACAACAGATCACATACTTTATCTCTCGGAGCAGTTCCACACATATGTGATCCTTTAAGACATTTATAAATAACACAAACAAAAATATAAATATATTATTTTTCTCACAGTATATCTAAACTTTGCCATTACTTTCGTTGTACACACGGTCTACAAAAAAAGACTAAAAACATTTCACTCAAAAATAACACATTTCACTGAAACTGAGAACTCAGTAATTAATGAAAATGTTTTGCATAATTAATGAGAAAAAAGTGGAAAACTTAATGAAATATTTATGAGTTATGTCCCGACGTTTTTGGCTAATTGTGTGAAATGTTTATTTATTTATCTTTTTTCTGAACATTTTGTTGTTTTAAAAGCAGGAAAAACTTTTTCTTATTCTCTTTACTATAATATTGAATGAGTTAACGATAATAAGAGTTTTGGAAAGGATTTAAAATTTAATAACAAAATAAATTGATAGTTTGGTGCAGAGAAATGCACCCAAAAAATTCATTCAAACAAAATATTTATAGTTTCGTTAACAAGACGTTGGGAGTGAAGTGCAAACTAATCATTTGATGGACTTTTCCGTAAACATAAGTTATTATCAAAATTAATATTACTGTTCAGATAATAACAGGGTTTGAAATATAACATAAGATTCACTAACGATAAGTGATTTTGTTTCGCATCCTTTCTCTTAACCCTTTAATACAGTATATTATTCTCGCATTCGGTAATAAAGTGGCGATAAATATATATATTTATAATAATATATTGAACACGACTTACGCGTTCATTTCGGGGTATATTTTTCATTTTCCAAATGAATTCTCCGATGCATATAATGATTGCTATACAAGAGCCGGCGGCCAACACGACGAACACACCGCCCACATTGGCCAGACCCAACTCGCTGGCACTTCCCTGCACTTTCTGTGTCTCTTTGCCGCCCCCGCACTTGCCCTTCCCGGACCACCACCGCTCTTTCAACATGTGCAGCTTTCCGTCCTCCTGCAGCTTCAGTATGGCGTCCGACATAATGGACCGGTAGGGAGAGTCCGGAGGTGTGGCGATGCCGTAGCCCTTCGAGTCCAACAGCGCTCCCACTTGAAAGAGATCGCACTCACGCTCGACGATGTACTCAATGGACGTCGACTCCATTAGATACGCGTAATCGCCTGTCAAACACATCATATAAACACACATTCATTCACACATCCATCTCGTGATCCTGTGATATATGGCATTGAAATGTTCAGACCTTTCTTCACTCGTTCGACTCCTTTGGCGTTGGATTCGACGAAAACTGAGGGTCGGGTGGATTCCATGAATGACCACATTCTGGCGTAAGTGGAAAAGTTGGAGTTCCGGAAGAAGGCTTCGGTTGAACCCGATTTGACGCATCCGTACGGAATCTTTGTCTGTTTGGAGAGATCTTCGGCCGATTCTATTGGGTTAACCATACGCTCGACAGTGAGAAAAGCGGCCAAATTGGCCGTATATGAGGAGACGAGGATAAGTATGAAGAACCACCATGATGCCGCCAACACCCGCGTCGACAGCGAACGCGGCATTATATCACATCCCTGTTGCATAAGACACCCAATCGTGAACCACAGCGTGTTTTTCATACTGAAGTTGTTTTTCAATTCTTCCGGTTCTTTGACACATGGATGCGGATTCACCTGATTTTGCGGATTCAATAAAACAATCAATTAATCAATTCTTTACGCCTATTGTGAGGAATGGGAGGTATGTATGGAAGTGATGATAACGCGTACCCATTCGTAGGGCGAGAAACGCGCCACAAAGAAGAGGAATAGAGTGACGCCTAAGAACGATGTGATCAAATAGACCCAAACATCCATAGCCAGGGGTGACATGAATGAGAATAGCTTTGGCGGTTCCTTCTTGTGCTTCTTGTAAAGTATCCCAATTCCCAAACTCATGAAAGGCATTGTGAAGTCCACCGCCGCCTCCCTTTCATAGGTGATGGTCAGGTCGGCCACCGCTATGTCCGCCTTCTATACAATCCATGCGATGAACAAAAATAAATTGTATTTTAGTATTGATTTTTGTGTATCAAATGATTATATTATGCAATTGTATGTGTATTGCGAAACATTGTAAGGGAAATATCGTAATGTTTTCAAAGATTTTTTCCTAAAGTATTACTTTTAGCCCAAAACCAAAAAATAGACAATAAAACATAATTTTAGGTCTCGTTTAGGGATTACTATATGATTGTATTTCATAGCGTTTAGGCAAATTGTGGCCTTCAGACAAACACAACCGGTCAATTATCCCGGGAATTAATAATAACATTTTTTACTCGTAGACTATTATTATTGTATTATAATCTCTTTTTTCCCACTGAAATGCCTATTATTACACGTTTGACTCGATGTGTCCGTCAATATCACTCATTCACTACAATATGTAAACGATATTAAACTCGAAAAGACATCAATTAAAGGAAAAAATAGCAATCGATTGGATGTGAATTGTATGGCAAAGAATAAGAGGGGAAAAATAATGTATGCGATTATGATTACCCCTTCGATGAGCTCCTTAATCATGCCATTCCACTCTCCCCTCGCATTCTTACGGCCGTGAACTCCGTCCTCAACCAATTTGATGGTATATCTGAAACCGAGTACTTTAGAGATCTCGTCGATCAGATCAATACAATATCCCTGATATTGTTTCTCAGTTATGTCCTCTCCTTCTTTCCTCTCCTTCTCCATGCAATACGGGTTTCCCTGTAATCGTACGCAAAGTATTGATCACTATTTGATTTGCGTAAAAGTAAAAAAATCTGGTTTCCGCACCGGTATTGTCACGACTGTAAGCGTCTTATTTTTGAGTGTCTCTTTGTATCCCTCAGTCATAGCTTTGGTGTAATTTGTCATAAATATAACCTTTTCATGTGGTGTCCAATCGCCCACCTATTCGTGCGAAACAATACATAAAATCGATTGAATAATAAAATAAATAAATAAATAGTATATAAAAACACATTTCTATTTAATCAAAATAATAATATCAAGAAAAGGAGTTCACGACTCTTGCCGTGAAAATAGTGATGGAAAGCATTCTTACGTGTTTGAGACCCTCTCGTGTCAGCTCAAGTAGTCTTAACCTGAAGTCAGTCCGGGAACCGCTCGAATCAAACCTTATATGAGATGTGATTCCGTCGATATTTATCTATAATTGAGTTTTTTTAGTTTTATTTATTTTATTTTATTATTTTTTGTGTAAGTATTTTGTTTTGTTTTGATTATTTCGATGTGAAACTCTTGATCTTGTAATTGAATTTTGGATTTACAGAAAAAAATAATAAAAAATAGATAATGTTTGAGAAAATAGTGAAAACGCAAACCATTCGCATATAATTGGTGACAGCGTTGCCGAAAAGCCAGGGCTCCTCCGTCTCGCAGGAGATGGGCCGCACACTAATGGCCTGAGTCTGATCCAAGTCGTGCAGGGCTTTGGCAAACAGCCGCACCGCGTCGTACACCAAACCCACTTCAGTCTTGGGATCACATAATAGTTTTAAATCAATCGTTTCATACATTTATTCTCTATATATTTACCGTAAAATTTTGAACAAAATTCTAAAGATAGACAAAAAATAAACAAATAAAATATTAATGAATTTATTTTTGATATACAAGAAAATCATGATATCATTGATATGATTATATTATACTTTTGTAATTTGTTCGATGGATTCGGTCTTCCAGTTTGGATATCTTGGCGGCGAGTTTTGCCACTCTCTGGTTATCTCCAAATACTCTTTACTCGTTTCGTCCACTAAATTAAAGCCCGATATATTAGTGCCTCCGTATTGATAGTCCTCTAAGTCAACGGTATGGACATCGAGTGACGTGAAGAAGTAGTTGTGATAATCGGACAGCATATCGACCTGTTGTGCGTGTTTTAACACTTTATGTATGTTATCTCTGGGCACGTCTATAATGATGTTTCGGATTCCCATTTTGTGCAACTCCTTAAATGTGGTCCGATATTCACCGGTCGCGCCGGGAAACTGGCGGACAACTATCCTCTTCTCTCGCAGTTCGGGATCTTTTAGTATCTCTTGAACTCTAACTAAAGCTATATTTTAAAATAATGGACAATATTTTTAAATTTATTTTTTGCCAAATGGATAGAAAAAATAATATGATTTTTTATTTAGAAAAATAGTTATTTCAAGAGATAAAAGACAAAACCATTAATTTTCTGCTTTAATTTTTTTCTATTCACGGGTTTTTCTGCCGATTATTTTTTATTCATATCATGAGTTTTATGAGAATTCCTTCGCAATGTTTGTAACTCTTCTCGTTCTCTATCCTAATGTTTGTTATCATTAATTTAGTGTCACTTCTCTTTGGGAATCATTTATTCACAAAAACAAAAGACACTGAACTGTTGGGTATGTGTTGTGCCCCTCACTTGATATCACCCTTTCGGTCAATCCTATGGATTCTTCACTTTACAGTATTATTTTTAAAAACTGTTTCTCATTTACCAAAAAAATACATTTCAATAATAAATACATTTGAAAACTAATCTAAAAAGAGTTCGCATTTTATATAATTTTCTTTAATAAAACTCGTTTAACTCCAACTCTTATCAAATATTTCTGTTAAATCTTGTATTAAAACATTTAAAAAATTTATTTTTCTACTATTAAAGGCTATTAATTTGATTTTAAGATTTTGATCTAATTTGAATTTGATGTTTTGCATTAATCTTGTGTTAATCATTGCTTTGATCAATAGGTATATCCTCTAAATATCTCTCATGATATGAGTTGTGAAATAAAAAATAAATTCGTGTCTGAGTTGTCATTAAATGCAAGTATATTTCAATTTTGTGCGATTATTTTAAATTGAAACAAATGATGCAAAACTTGAATACAAGTAAAACACTTGTGCGGATAAATGTGACGAACACTTGCCTTCGTTTTCTTCGTAAAGTATAGCAAAACTTTTCCAATTCTTCAATTTAATCAAATCCCGGAATGCATTTCCCAAAGCAATGGGATGTGGAAATAGATTGATAGAGTGATTGGATGGCGGGTCAAACTTAAAGTCCCATCTGGTCTCCATATGTGGCATATGTAACACATCGCATGTCGACTGGACGTGAGCACTGGTCTCCACAGACTGCGGCCCAAACACTGCGGCCACTCCTTCTTGCAATAGACTGCACACTGTATTGAATGGCAATTGAGAAACGAAAACATTTGTTTTAAAAGGCGTTTAAAACCCATTTCCTGTTTGTTTATACGATATTCTGTGGACTTAATGGGGCTTTTAATCAAACAATTATCTTATTATGCATTTTGCGAGTAATAATACTATCATTAATTCATTGTTTGTCTATAGAGATGGGCTATCATTGAGGATTAGGTTCGTCCGAAAGAGAGGAGCGAATGTCTAAATTAGTGAAAATAATTGTATAATTGATACCTCGTTTGGATGCCTGAAAGCTGTCGCACTTCTCCAGCCGTTCCACTTGTGCTATAAGTCTTGTGTGCGGAAGGACTCTATTGTCGGCATTAATGCGGTCGACGGCATACCTAAAGGCCAGTTCCACGGCATCGTCTCCGTGTTCAAACAGACCCCCTAAACACACATTCAAACAATACATTATTAGTATTGCCAACTAAATATGAGTGATATTTTATGAATGTTTTTTTATAATAGTAATTTAAATTCTTTAGTATTTTTTCAATTGAAACATTATTATGATATATGTTTACAATTACTTAAAATGTCATTAATATTGGATGAATGCATAATAAATGTGCTCGTTTTAGCATTAAATTATTCATAACTTTTAATCAAATATAGAAATAATTTTTGTCAATAGTTATAATATTTAAATATCAATGAATTAAAATTTGGATCACATTTAAGATAAAAAACATGGTTTTATTAGGAATAATTACAAACTTGATCATTCACTATAAAATTACAATTTATAATATGCTTAATACTATACATTCCGTATATGACTTAACTAGATGTGCTTTAAAATAACACGATATCTGCCAAATAACTTACCTATACGAATTATATCGGGAAGTCCATCACATAAACATAATAGATAACAAAAACAGATGACAATTAAATTGTGTTTAAATGAAATCATATTTATTTGAGTAAATATTCAATATTATAATACAAGAGAAGAGAATTCATGGAAAAAATATCGATTTTCTCTAAAGAAGAGAGAAATGGTTTCTAAGCAACGCATCCCTAAAAAGCATCCAATTTTCAACGTTCTGCACATCAAATGGTTTAATGTATTGAGCAATGGGTTGAGTGGATATCATTAATACCATGATTATATACAATTGTCTGTAGATATTTAAAATCTGGAAATTTGTAATTATAAATTCATGTTTAATGTCTGCTTGATTTACAAACTTAAAGCAGTGATTAGCATTTTGAAGATTAGTTATTGATAATTGCTATCAAAAGGTAACATTTAAACTAATGGTATCTCGCTGGTTTAATTAATTTCTGATTTGAATGTCATTATTTGGTTAATTTAATATTATTATTATTATTATTAATGTATCTAGAATTAATTATACTTGGATTTATTTATTATTTTGTTATTTATTAATGCTTTAGAAACAAATTATATTTCCAGTATTTAAGATGAAAATTAGTGTATGATTAATATCCCTAAATACGATCAAGGTCTAACTGCCAAAATATTATTTATTAAATATTCTGTAATAAACAAAGTATACAAACACAGGCTTCAAGTAATCCAATGATATAATGTATACAGTAACGTAATAAACATTAAATCTTTTAATTCATTTTTAAAATATTGAGTATTTGTGTCCAAAAATATAAGTACAAAGTAAATTATTTTTAAATATTAATTGTCTATAACTCGATTTAATATGTTATAAAATCCAATCATTATAATCGTTATCATAAATATGATATTAAATTATGATTTTTTTGTAGCATCTGTTCCGCAAAACATAAAAAATATATACAGATAAAAGTTTTCCGTTTAGAAAAAAATAAAATAATTGATAAAAACAGAAAATAAGATTTGTTTGTAAGTTATTAACTGATCATCAATTGGTCTATACTATAGAGTGATGTGTTTATCAAATGATGTTAATATAGATTATGATTTATCTTTAAATTAAATAATAACAAAAAATATGATAAGAGATTCCGTTATTTCAAGTAAGTATCGGATGTGCTATAATTTTAGTGCTTTTCCAATCATACGTTAACAACAATTCAACAAAAACAGATGATATACACTAATAGCACTATTCGAGTAGATTCTGACCACTTTTAGCGTTATATCCGTCACAATAATAGTACTCATATGACCACAAAGTCCACGTGACGACAGCAAAAGTGGCCGCATTTGTAGGGAAAGCCCGAACCAGAGTTGGGGTCACTCCGCGCACAAACACATTAATCCCCTCTTCTGTCAGCGATTTTTGAATGCATTGACGCATTGAGGTGTAGGTCGTGTCCGCTTGTAATCGGGACTTAACCACATCTATGGGATAACTGGCCAGCCATGAGACCGCACCGGCTGTTCCGCCAGCGAATAGTAGCCATAATGTTGACGGCGTATCGCTTTTGGGTGATGTCTTAAACAAGAGTTCATAACACGAAAAATATATGGCAAATGCGGGCGCGTCTCGGGCTAGGGTTGCGCCGAACCCTCGATAGAGGGCCCGAATTCCTCCCTCTTTACGTACTGTTTCCCGAAGGCATGTCATGACTGGCATTGATCTCAATTGCGCTCTTGTTTTAATGAGCTCTATGGGACAACTTATTAATGTCTGCGACACTCCGGCAGCGCATCCGGCACTGGCCTGCCATAGAAGACTCGGCTCATCCATCTTCTTGATGAGTGATCCGTAGACACCGAACACAACGGCGTTGATAGCTGTGAGTCCTGTCAATGGAGCACAAATACCCCGATATAAGGAGAAAACCTATAGATGTTTGTCAGTTATTGCATTAAATATTTGATAATAGAAAACAATTTCATTAAACTTACCGATTGATCGGCCAATACTGACTTCATTGACAGGCGTTTAGCACTTGTCTGCATAACAACTTTGATTGTGTCCAACGGATGTCCGACTAGTACTCCGGCCGCGCCTGTAATAGAGTGAATACAATAAACACTCAATAGTATAATTAACTTTAAATCACTTTAAATATTATACCTCCGACACAACCGGCCATGAAATCTATAAAACTTGCCATTTATATAAATTGAAACAATTTGTTTCCATAGCAATACTTTTGGTCTTAAATTCATTCAAACCTTTCTCTCAAAAGGTTTATTAAAGAAAAAAACTTTTAGTTTACAAAAAAATATTCCTATAATTGAAATAAAGTTTTTTGTGTGTGATTTCATACAAATTTGAGTCCAACACTCATGTGCTGTAGTTTTCTAAGCTCCGGGCGTTTGACATAACTTTTAGTGCATTTCTATTAAAGTTTTTTTTGTGATAAGAATTGAAGACATCGAGGGAGACATCAGTCATGTGTCTGTCATTAGTTTTGATGCATATTTGCAATAACTAATGGGTAATTATAATGCAATTTAATTTTTATTAATATATATTTCTTAATAAACAATTGAGCAATTAATTAATGTGTTCATTGATTAATATTGATTAAGAGAACAATAATGATATTTCGCATTCAAATAGTTATACAAATTGTTGAAATTGTTTTTCTAGTAAATTCATGCGATCGCAAAAACAAATAAACTTTACATTATTTAAGTAAAAAACTAGTTTTAAAATATTTTTTAAGATAAAAATTGAATTTTTGTTTAATTGAAGTAAAATGTGATGATTTTTAACACGTGAGAAGAAATTGTGAAAATTATAAATACTAATAAACAACTTATATAATAATGTTATGAAAAATTAACAATTGAATAGAAAATAGACATTTTTGGTTGAAGTCAATCAATCGTCGTCTGAGTCGATCTCAATCACGTCGTTCTCACTGCCGGGCGTCGGACCAAACAATCGCTCCAAAAAGTTGTCTTCGCTGGGAATCATTGGCTCGTCTTTTGTCTCATTCTTTGTTTCATTCTTAATCTCATTCTTCACTTCAGCCTTGACTTCGCTCTTCACTTCATTCTTAATCTCATTTTTAATCAAAAATTTAATGTCTTTCTTGTCTTCTTGTTTGACACCACTATTAGTGCCATTAAGGCCTTCATCTCCATCGTCCTCATCGATGGGTTCGCTCTTAACCTGAATATAGCGGATCAGTTCAATGCGCGCCTCTTTCGTGATGCGGAACTTCGCTCTCAATTGGTTTTCGTAAATCAGATCCAATGTAGTCATGAGTTGCCTGAAGAATGAGTTGATAATATCACTGGAAAACACTCGAATGGAAGTGAAGTTTCGCTCAATGAGTCTAATCTGTTCGCGTTTCATATCATTGAACGGCTTCTGTCCTCTGAACGCAATATTGTACAGATTTTCACACGACTTGAAGTGACTGTCAATCAAGTGCTTCATCAGAATAAAGGGATTGTCGGGAAATATGTGTGACTCGGGGCAGAGGTCGCACTTCATTGGGAACCAAAACAAGTGTTTGCAGATATGAAGCTTCGCTTTCCATAAGGCGTCGAATGGATGGGCACTTAATTTGCACACTTGAGCCGCCTTTACACATATGGGACACACAATGTCAATGCCGTTTGGGTTCGGCCTCAGAGCCGACGGCTCCACAAAGAGGGCGCTCTTAAATTGATTGTCGATGCAGTTTATAATCCACGACCGAATCTCTTCTGTCATGTTATCAACGAAGTCCATGTCATCGCTCTTATGGACACTATGCCAGTGATTTTCCATCGAGTTATAGGCAACGCATTTGAAGTGGCACTGAGAGCAGGAGTAGCCGAGACCCAAATGACTCTTATAGTGTTCAATGGCTTCCCATTTATCGTTTATAATGAAGCCTTCGTCGCAAAACACGCACAAAAACTTTGACGGAATCTCCGATTCTTCTAATGGTTTGGCGATCATTGACTCGTTCAACGACTGAGAACACGGCTTAGCCGTCGATTTGCGCGCCACTGTCTGCTTCTTCGGCGAAATCACTTCTTC